AATGAAAAATGTTTTAAGATTTATGACTGTATTTATGAAATTAATCAATTTCCCCCATCATATATCACAAGACCACATGTCTAGACTCTTGATCATATATAATTTAGAAAAAAAAAAAAAGACTCTTCTTGATAAAAAATAAAGTTCATTAAATCCAAAGCAATAATATGTGTGGAGTTCAATAATCTATAAACTAGTTCTGTGCGTATGCGATTTCGGCAGTCCGGTGCGCACTGCGCATTACCTCCCCAAAACGACAAGTATTTGTAATCTGCGCCTCTATTCCCTCCGGCGTAATCTCTCTCTCTCTGAAACATTGTCCTTCGATTTTGTCGTCTCTCCCAAATTCGTCAATTTCTAGGTTTTCCAAATCCCAAACACCATGATCTCATTTCTAGGGTTTTAGCTCCTCCTTCGCTCCGACTTCACCCTGTTACCAGGCTAGGGTTTTCGTCTACAATCACACACAGCCATGGCGGATTGGCAGCAGCTACTTCAATCGATCTTTCTCGGCCTCATTTTCTCTTACTTCCTCGCCAAGCTGATCTCCATCGTCACTTCCTTCAAGGAGGATAATCTCACCATCACTCGCGGCGGCGGCGGCGGCGGAGACGACGGCGACAATCGAATCCGGTCAAAGTCCGATTCCAAACCTGAACCTCGCGACGACTCGGTGGGTCCCAGGGGCGATTCGGGCGGCGCGGCTAACGAGGCCGATTCGGTGGTCGCGGAGCACGGTAGCGTTAGGAACGAGAGCTGGGCTGACAGTGACGAGGACGATGATGATTGGGAAGGAGTGGAGAGTACGGAATTGGACGAGATGTTTAGCGCCTCGACGGCTTTCGTGGCGGCGGCGGCGGCTGATCGGCTCTCGGCGCAGAAGGTCTCGAGTGATGTGCAGTTGCAGCTCTATGGACTTTACAAGATTGCCACCGAGGGGCCTTGTAGCGCACCACAGCCATCGGCGCTGAAAATGACGGCTCGCGCCAAATGGTACTGCTGTACTTTTTCCCTATGTGTTAAATCTGCTGCTGTGTGTTTTGATCACGTTGTTTTTGCGGATTTTTTTGTTTGCAATGATTAGTTTATCCTCTGGACAAGTTTAATTTAATGTTGCAATTTAGGATTTTAGTCTCACCTTGTAAGCAATGTTGGGAGCGTTTGGACAAGGATCCATGTCATGATTCAATTATGGTTCGTGCGCTACAGTGTTTTTTCTCACAAAAAAATACACGTAAATTGAGAATGGTTCTTGTGGGAGCGTTTGGACAAGGATCCATGTCATGATTCAATTATGGTTCGTGCTCACAAAAAAACACACGTAAATTGAGAATGGTTCTTTAATCATATTTTGAATCTATGAACCAAACGTCCTCTAAGTGATTGATCCCAAATCCCAGTCAAGACTGAGGAAGAAGGTCAAAGGAACAAGTTTATTGTTGAAATTGATAGTGGTTATTGGATGTGAATAAAGTGGTATTAAACAAATGCATTGGTTTACAAGTGTTGTCGAAAGCAACACTTGATCCGCATAGCTTTTCGAAATAATCAGGCCCTCTGTTTGTTGTGTTCTTAAATGTTGTAATGGGTTTCACGTTGACGAAGACTTGGAAGTAACAACTTCATCATGACAAGGTGTGAGAAGGACATAATTGAAGAAAATATGACTGCTAAGATGTGTATAACGGGGACTCCTACCTATTTATTGATGGAAGATATCTGGTGTCCTTTATATTAAATTTTTAGTAAGGGTGTAAGGCTTTGGTTGTTTATGCCTTTCACGATCTTGTTTTCTGAACACTGGATGGCTGACATTTATCTGTTAAACACATAGTTGCTGAAGGAAAAAGGAAACTGTATCAATTCAGGACAAGAATAATTGTCTGTATTTGATGTTCCCTTACTTGCACCTTATTCCTTTAGAAATAATGAAGCTATGTTTCTTAGCGATTGTTTGAAATTAACTTCTAGATAATCATTCTAGGCAAGCGTGGCAGAAATTAGGTGCCATGCCTCCAGAAGAAGCAATGCAGAAGTACATTGATATTGTTACAGAGCTATATCCTACATGGCTGGCAGGCTCAAGTGTGGTGAGATCATAATTCTTTTTTCTACCATCCTGCTGTTTCTTTGGACCTCCTATACGGCTATACCTATATTTACTCTGAATGCTGTATGCTTGTTATGTGGTAAATAGAAGAGCAGAGATGGTGACAGTGATGCAGCCAGTACGGGTTCTAAAGGACCAATGGGACCAGTTTTCAGCACCTTTGTTTATGAGGAGGAATCTGGAAATGATTTGTAAGGTTCTTAAAACTTCTAAAACTATAAGTTTGAGTGTTTACATATTGCCCTAGATGAGTTCATAGCAGCGGTGGTTTCTGCACTTTCATCTGATTATTTATGTGTTTGTCAATTTTTGTATTTTCATAGGTAATTTTGGGAGTGGTGTGAAAAGTTATAGAATTTATTTTCTACAATTTATTCAGTTGGAATAAGCTTCTTCTAAGCTGTCTCAGTCTTTTGAAAGATAATCTGATTTCCTGATTGTTTTGACGTATGTAGCTGTAGATAATGTCCTCTTGGTGTTGTCTGTTGTTTATCTTCTCAATACTTAAAGAATACTGAAGGTCACTACGTACTTGTATTACTTTTCAGCAAGATGGATGCTATTCATGCCTTTGCCAGAGAAGGAGAAGTGGATAATTTGCTTAAATGTATTGAAAGCGGTGTCACAGTGAATCTGAAGGGTTTGTTTTTCTTTGGCTGTCTTATCCTTTTTTTTCCCTCTCTCTTTTGGATTATCAAGAAAATTTAAGCCTGTTGAGGGTGGGGGAATCGTTTAAGGAATCTTTTTGAATGGGCCAGTAGCAATCTGGCAATCTCTATTAATTTCGCTTGGATGCTTGACAAATAAGCTTGGTGGGCCTGTGAAAAGCCACGCTAATGAGTTTTTGCTGAACTGTTTGACCGAACCTTTATTTGCATCCAAATATTTTTCAACGCATATGACCTCCAACTGCCTGAAACAATTGCAGATAGCGAGGGTCGAACTCCATTGCACTGGGCTGTAGATCGTGGTCACCTTAACATGACAGAGCTGCTTGTTAGCAGGAA